AAGAAAATCACTAATCTCAAACTTGAAGTGCCACCAAAATAAGACAGATTTCTGGCACAAAGATGGCTTGAGTTATAATAATGAGGCAATTGATGTAAAATCAACTCCAGTTTTTGGAACTTCCATGAGTGTTACAGTTTGTTGCAATAAAAGGTAATTTTTCTTTTCTTTCCAAAGGACTCCAAGGAACTCTTTGGAAGAAGGAGCATTACCATGTGCCTTTCTGTGCACACATGTATCTGATGTCCTTCCCAGACAGAGTGGTCAAAGGTTGGGCAACACACTTGTGCTACACAAACAGCTTTTACAGATCTTACTGCCACAATTAGGGCCTGGGGTTATTTCTACGTATTTCCAGTGGCAAAATAAGTCCAGTGCTTCAGTGCACCATGTTTCCAGAGCTAGAAAATTTGCAGAGATTTGAAAGCAACAATACTTGTTCAGTTTCTAAAAGAAGGTATTAAAAGAAGATTGTTTCAAAGCTGGGTATTTTATCAAAACAATGTACCTCCTCCTACCTCCTCCCATCCTTCCATTTAGTTAAAGACAGGCATCATGCCTAACCCCAGCCACCATGGTTTCCTCTCCCTTCTCTGCAGCAGAGCCTTCCCCACTTATCAAAATTGGATGGAAAGGTGTTACACTTAACCAGAATACACTTCTCAGGAGAAATACCAATAAATCACTTCCTACAAAAATAATGCATGGAAATGTTTTATGCCAGGTTTCCAAGTTCTCAAGGTCTTTACTGTCTTTTTGTTACACTTATTTTCACTAGGAAGGTTATCTGGAAGTTCATGCCAATGTTTCTGCAATCCCCAGTTAATCAGTTGATCAGGTTTTTTTCTTCACATGTTCCACTATCTGACACATCTTGACAGGTGGCAGAAAAGCTATTCTCTGGTTCAGAGGATGAACACATAATTATTTTATGTGAGTGGGAAAAAATTCAACAACAAAACCTGCAAGTCCCTCATCAAAAATGCATGACAGACTCACTGACAAATGGGGTCAACATCCCTGCAGACAAATCAGGAAACTGAATGGAATATATTCTGTGCCAGTTTTTGGGTGTTCAGTTCTTTTTAAAAATATTTGGCTGGTGGGAAAAGGGAACAATCTGCAGCAGGTTTTCTAAAACTACAATGCACATTTTTCAATTTTCCCAGAAAATCAAAAATCACTTGCTGGCACAGCAACTATTGTAAAGGTACAATGGGTGAATGAGGAGTTCAAGAAAATAGCTAAAAATAAAGCAGAACCTTCTATTTTTTCTGTTTAAGTCAGATTTTAGACCATCTTCCCTTAAAGAGATTGATTTTGTAGGCATAGTTGAACATGAGGGTTCAGTCCATGAAAAGGTTTCCACACAGGTTTAACTGAAAAAGTGGGAATAAATCTTAGTTTTCCTTTTTTCTTAAATATTAACTAAAGCAAAATTAAAGAAGGAAGACATTTCACATGCACTTAAACCTGTCTATCACTATCCAAATTTCCAAAAATCTGCACATTATTTACCCATTCTGTAAAGGAATTACAAATCAATGCACTTGCTCATGATGCATAACCTGAGCAACACAAATGCTCTCTGCAGATCCTGAAGATGTTCTTTTACTTTTTTCTTTGATTTTTTTTTTCTCAGCTGATTTGTTTTCTCAGCTTTTTTTTCATTTACTCTTTGCTGGATGACAATTCTTTGTTTGCATCCTATTCTTCGAAACAATTCTTTGAAATGTATCCTATACTTATTTCAGGTCCAGCAAATAACCTGTGCAAAATTAACCAAATAGGCACAATGAAGCAACTGTTCTGGGGCAGCATGGCTCCATAATCTATAGAAAGATAAACTATTTTCTTTCAGATCACACATAGATTGTATTGAGCATAAAGGCCCTTTAAATTTTTAGAAAGTGTAAGCTTTCTGCTATTTGTCTTTTGACAAAAATGAACTTTCAAACCACACACATGCCTGAACACACCTGTTTCTAGCATTACAGTCCTCAAAAATATCTGCAAGCTGAAAAACCATGGTTTACAGTAACAGCTGATCCTCGCTGTAAAGGAGCAGATGGGACTCATACATATGCTATCAGAAAATGGTTTACACAACAGCTAAGCTATCAGGAAGGTATTAGATGTTCTAATAAGAGAGAAAATATTGTACATTTAAAGGCAATTTTATGCTCTAGAAAGTTAAAGCAGTATTTTTATAAAATCAGTTCCCTATGTTATTTGTTGTCTTTAGATGGGATAATTTTTCCAAGTACCAATAGCTCAATGAACATAAACTTAATTCATCCTAGCTGAAGATTTGTGCCTATGGAATCTTTACAAATTGTTTTTGTAGTGTAACTATAGGAGGAATTAGGATACTGAGGATTAACTGATAATTGTCCCTGTTTAACCAATAAATGAATGGCAAAAGCTCTACAAAAGACTAGAAGTATGAAAAATATGTAGCTTTATAATAAAGAATAGATATTAATTTTCTTGGGGAAAACCCCTTTTACTACCAGAAAGGTGGGAAAGTTATTCTTGAACTTCAGTCTTGTCTCATTAAACCACCAGAGTGCTACAAAAGAATACCAAAGTGCGAAATTTTCCTGCTAAGTGGTGTAATAAAATATCACAGAGAAAGTGACAATAAGTAATAGCTGTTTATTCCAGAAAAATCTGTGTTGATTAGTAAAAGTTTACAAGATCACAATAAAGTTGAAAAGGAGGAAGAGGATCAGTTGCTGTGTTTCTGCAAGAGCTAGAGGGTAGCACACAAAGACTAACAAAGGATACATGCATGAAAGGTGGTACACATGTAGTTTTCTTTGCCAAAGAACACTAAAATTCTGCTGTTTCAGACAGAGATTTAACAAATCCACGGGAGACTATGAAAGTGTTAGAAGCTATGCCTCAGAAAGACCCTAAGCTGGAAAAAAAATTTGCCCTGGTTCTCTAAAAATGTCTCACCTACTTGCCCTGCTTGTATTTTGCTCTGGACACTTCCCTACAACCACTGCAATGGAGAAAAAGAAGTACAAGCTATTCAGTTTTGATCTTTGTGTAGTAATTAAGGACTCAGTATCCTTGGTAACCTGCTCAACTGCCTAGAATCAAAAAGCTTTTCCTTACAGTCTCTCTGCATCTTCCTTGTTTTCACACTTGCATTCTGCCTCTTGATCACCTCACCAACAGGAGACTGGCTCTGCCATTGCAGCACCCTTCTCATAGGCAGTGGCACCACTCTAGGTCCCCAAAGCTGACTCTTCTCAGGGTGGACAAATCCAGTTCACCCAGTCCCTTCTCACAGGTCTCCTGACACTGACATGGTGACTCTCCAATGGACTTGTCACAGGCTATTGATGTCTTTCTTGTACAAGGAATGGAGGACAAAACTTGACACAGTAATTGCACTCTATTATTGAGTTGTGCCTTGTGATACAAAAAGCAATGGATGCAAAGTGGATTTCTTGGTAATAATTTCTTTGTTAAGAAAAAAATATATATTCTCACTTCTTATTCAATCATCTTAAAATATTGCTAATAATGGAAGTTGCCCAGCTAAAAGGCAGTAAAGTAGTTCAGGTTTCATAAGCTCCTTTAAGGAGAACAGAGAAGTTTCATTGAAGATAAATTGGCCCCATCAAAGTCAGCTACAATATTGCTATTGATTTGCCGAGATATCAGAATATAATTGTTCATAGCTTCTTCTCAACAGCTGAAGACTCAATTACAGAGATGTTCATTAAAAGCAATTCAGTGTTAAGTACTACCCAGATATTTCTGCTATTATCAGATATGACAAATATTTGAACACACAGAGGAAAGGTGGAGAGCCCAGCTAAGCAGCTGCTGATACACTATTAATGTTCTTTGGCTTTAACAGCACTGAGCGCATTGAAAAACACAACTAAAGCTTTAATTCTAATGACTTTCTGTAGAAAAACAAGCAAGAAATTTTGTAGAAAAGCAAGCAAGAAATAGAAAAGAAAGTAAGCAAGCAATTTCTAAGAATAACTGTTTGTCCTGGATGTATCTGCACACACTTTGTTCCAAAGAGATTGTGAAGTGCACCACAAATCATGCGTAACATCAGTAAAGAGAAAGAATCTAAATGAAGAATTCTAGAAACCATTTTGAAGAATGGTGAGGTGAAGAAGAAAAGCTGAGGATTTGTTTTCATATGCTGGAAATATAACACGTAAGAACACATTGATTTGCAAGTTCTAGAAATTCATGGAACATATCTGTAATACAGAAAAAACTTCAGTTTGTTTCAACTGAGATTTTAAAAAACCCCAATGGTAGATACTTAAGTATCTACTTAAACCCTCTGAGCCACATAAAACACCAGAAGGGACATTTTAAAGAAGTTTCAAGTCAACATTTGATATTACTAAGGTATTTAAAATTCAAGAAAAATTCTAATTCACAGAATTCTTTAGCACCCACCCCCCAGATCTCATATAAGTGAGTAGTACAGTGGATTTAGCTGAACCTGAGATTTTTCCTTATAGAAGGACAAAGGGATTGCTATTTTTTTTCAGTATTTTCACAGTATTTTGCACAGAAATTAGTGACAAACCCTTTTCCCAGAAACAAGGGTAAAAGAAATATCTTGGTCTTCTCCCCATGTTTCTCTAAACCAGTATACTTTTTTCTTAGCTTTTCAAAAGAATATCGATGGAATTACAGCAGTATTTCATTAGAGTCACATCAAACATCAGCAACTCCTCCCCAAATAAACCACAATCAATCAATTAGACCACTTCAGTGGTGAAGATGTATAAACAGATGATTAATGTTTAATGTCAAACTCTAATAAAGAAAAAGAGGCAATAAATAGTGCATAAAAAACCTCCAAAAGCTCAAGGGAACAAAAGCCTTACTTTCTGGTTTACTGCCAAAGTGAAGTTCTGTACAACTGATTTGCTAACATAATGCAACTGCAAAAATACCTGTTCTCAGATGTACAAAGAAACATGAAAAAATAGATATAGGCTTACCTGGTCCAATGCAGAACGATGCAATGATTGCAAGGATACAAAATATACTGAGGTAAGGAAGCCAATGCACAGTGTTCTGGGTAGATAAAAGACATTCATTTTTAATATATTGAACATATCAAAAATATTTTTAAAAACTTGCAGATAACAGATAGTGTTTTCCATGATTCTTGATCTATTTCAGAGTTTAGTCTGGGGTGCACTGCAGAAATCACTGCATTTCTGTAGCACACAGCATTTCACCTTGTTAGATGATTTCTATTTAAAGGCCTTGGTCTCTGTGAAAACCCTGTAGAGAAACACTAGATAAGCTATGTACCACAGAGTCAGAACTCTAAACAATCACAACTTCTTGTGGTAAATCTCAAGTCAGCCTGGAACACTGAACACATTCAGGACCTCCATCCACCTCAGGTATTTCAGTCATGTTTAAAAAGAGCATCTAGGATGGCCCATAGAGCTTCAGAGTTCACCAGTCCGAGGCTTGGCTGAAGACTGTACACAACAGGCTGACATGTGGTAGGACAACCAGGGATCTGAACCTTGGCAAAGCCACAGTCCAGGGCTTTTCAGCTGTAATCTGATTTTGCAGACAAGGAAGGCCATATATGCTATCTTTCCTCTATTTCTAAGTATATTTTTCTATACTAAGACCTCTATATATTTCAGGAACTTGAAATACGAAGAGCAATTCTTGTGCAGCTTGCAGGACGCTGTTCCTTAATCATGTATGTGAATGATGGATTCAAATTCTAAAAGATAGAAAAACCCACGGGTGTCCATTTCTTTCTCTCCAACAGGTGGAGTTTTACTGCAGCAAAGTGTGAATGATATTTTTATTAGAACTTTGCTATTTTTGAGAAGTTTGTTAACATACATGTAAGTGTACTGTCACCACCTTGAGTGACACTGTAAAAATATCCTTGCTAAAGGAAGTAATTATTTTCTCAGTCTTAATGGAAGGCTCCAATTTTCTGATGTTTTCTTCTCTTCTAGTCTGGGTTATTTCCTTAGTTATGTGGAAACCATGTGAAAACCATGGTCTCCTGGATATTAACCAAAAGGGCTGTAGATATATCAAAATTACACAACCTAAGGTTCTTGTCTGGAAGCAAACCAAAGGTCTCTGAGAAAGAGAAGGTGCAAATGTGGAGTAGGTATAAATTTCTCTGAGATTAAGTCTATTTGTACTGTGATCCTTTGTTCAAAGCAAATCAATAATACTTTAAGAGCCTTTTGAAAGGAGGTAAAACTGAAAGGCATTCAGACTTCAGGGATTTTAAATAGCTGAAAGTCCTCACACACCCAACTTGGCTTCAAAAGATCTGGAAGGGAATTTTCACTCAGCATACCAAATATGCAATAGCATCTCTCTTCAGGAGGAGAGTTGTCTTACAGCTGTTCTGGCAGGCGTGTGAAGTAAAGCTTTATTGTGATGTACATACAGGTAAATCAAATAAAACTGCAGTGGTGTGGCACAGAACTACCAGTCTACCTGACCTACTGACTCCCTTCAAACAAGAAACTAAATCTGGAAGTCAGAATAATGGCACCACACAGGAATCAAAACCAGCAGAAAAACACCTTGATGAAACACCACCCAAACCCATGCCATTGCAAATGTCAGTTTTACTTCTCTAAGAAGAACATAAACAAACCACATTATTACATAGATGGAAGCCAAACAAGAAAAATCATATAGGGCCAAAGTTTAAACTGATTTAATAAATTGATTATGATAATTTGAAACACCTGGGGAATTGAGTGCTAGTAACATCTGATAAGTTAGAACCATATAATCATAGAAACATATAGATTGAAAGAGACCTTTAAAGCTCATCTAGTTCCAATCCCCCTGCAATGAGCAGAGACATCTTCAATCAAATCAGTTTTTTCAGGGCCCTGTCCAACCTAGCCATGAATATTTCCAGAGATAGGCCATCAAACATTTCTCTGGGCAACCTGTTCCAACACTACTACACTCATTGCAAAACACTTCTTCCTTTCCTTATACCTAGTCTAAATTGACGCTGGTTTAGTTTAAAATTATTACCCCTTGTCCTATCACAAAAAGCCCAGCTAAAAAGTCTATTCCCATCTTTCTTCTAAGGCCAAAGGTTCTCCAAAGGATAAGTCTTTGTATTGACTATACAAATACCAGAAAAGTAACTTGAAACAAACATCAAACATGGAAATTTTTCACTAAAAAAAATTCCAAACCTAAAGTAGGAATGACATATAAAGCATGAAAGAAACCTCAGAGAGAGTGAATTACAAACCAAGATACACCCACAGAATATGGGTAAACAGTTTATTCAGCTATAGATAAAACTGTCTTCATAATAGGTCATCATATGCATAAACCTTTGAATTAAGGAGTCTGAATGTGAGAATGTGAGAGAGTCCCTATAGCTTTTTTAATGCAAAACTTTTGAGCAAACAGATTCATAAATTAGTGTAAGAGACCTTTCACTCCTCATGACAAACTGATTAAAATGATTGGTTTATGCAGGAATGTTGAGACAAACCAGTAACAAGCATATCTAAAATAGGTAAAAGAGAGAGTAAAAATTTATAGTGACACCAGTGTTACCTGTAAAGTCAGGGAGACAGTGAGTACTCCAAAGAAGATGATCATCAACCCAAAACCTCCAATGAGGAGAGGCCTGCGCCCAAGCCGTTCAATAACTAAGCCCTGGAAAACAAAAAATGGCATTTGACCCTCTTGAGAAAACACTGAAGGACTTGGATCATGAAATATGTTCTCCAAGTAAACATGAAGATCAAAACAATTTCCACCCACCCATGAGGGTGGATTTTACACTATTCGTAAGCGATGACATTCATAATTGTACTCACAATTATATTTACAAAATTTAACATGCTTGAAAAAACAATTCAGCATGATATCCTTATCTGAGACCAATGAAAAATTGTTCATTGTTTGAACAGCTTACAAATATGCACTAAATTTTTATGAAAATGTCCTTACAAAACATAATTTTTAAATGTCAGTATGTTGAAGTGAACTTCTTGCTCTTGCATTTTGAGTTTCCTAATTTCAACATGTCCCTGAATTTAAGCTTAAAACTTACAATTTGAGATTTAAATCTTTTTAGCATAAATTAAATCTTAATTTAACCAAAATTTGTTTTAAATGTATTTTCTTCTCAAATATAGAATAAGCATTTAGTTGTTATTTTGGATAATTGATGTAATTAGAATATCCAAAAAAAAGAAATCCATGCAGCAGAAAACTTTGCTCAGGCACATGATTTTAACACTGATACTAGTGCAGTTACACCCCTTTTGAATTTATATTTAACATCTGAATATAAATCACAAAATATGAATATTTATCTCCTAGAGGAAAACACAATGAAGAATTTCTTAAAAAGCTGTAACTTGAAACTCTGCTAGTCTGACTCATTAAAATAGGCTAGTACGTATTTTGTCATAACAGCTGATGTACTTTTCATGTTGGTAACTACTAAAATTACTAATTACACTTGGCTTACTTATAAGAAAAATAAGAGGATTTTATGAAGATTAAAATGTACCACTTCAAATAAGTTGAAGTCAGAATCACTAAACTGTTTGCCTTATCATTATTTACAGGCAACTGAATGCCATCTTCTGCACATCTTTTGAGGAAAAAATAAAATGGACAACTAAAATGAAATCTGGAGTAATACCCTTAATTCTGGGAAACAACACACATCACTCCACTGCGAGCATCTAGAAGAGATGTGTTCAAGCAAAGTACAGAGACACCCACGGATGAAATGCCTTGAGAGGCAAGTGCTTCTCCCTCAGTCTGGAGTTCAGTAGTGGATTTTAAGGCAGGCTTGTCTGTCCTAAACACATGTTGATGTTTCACCCTGAGCTGGACTTCCCAACCAGAGATATGCTCTGTGGTGCTGCAGATCACTGACAGCAGCTCTGTGGCAAGATTTTTAATTCTTTATTGCTTTAAATGGTGAAATATAATAATTTGGACAATTCCCACAGCTTCTATAATAGAATTATGGAATATTAAAAAGACCTACACTGATATTAATAACATCTTATGAAGTCCAAATATTTCAAAACTGCAACTGCTTCACTGTCAAAACCTCTACAAGATGGCAGCTATTTCCCATTATGATTAATAAATCCATCTTGCAAGCACACATGACCATACAGACACTGAACCAAAAGACAACTTTAATGTCTTTGAGGGCTAAAAAATTATTTGATAGGTCTGTAAGACCCATCTTCTGCAATTTTTGCAAGAGACTTATGCAGAAGATGTTTTATATGTAATTTGGAGTGGATTATATGTTCAGCAATAAATGTTGCACATGTAATTTGACATACTGTGCAATTTCTCTTCTTTTTTTTCAATGCTGGATTGATGGTAATGATCAATAAATGTTGGTGTTACAGAGCTGGGGGATTTTGTATTAAAACTGGATCAGGGATGATGCTTCTCTTAGAGGAAAAAGTTCATAGATGCCTTTCATACAAAACACAGGAAAAATGTGATATATTTTTCACTTTTAAAACTCAAAGCAAAACAAATTCCAGTAAGGAAGGACAGTCTGGACTTGGACTTCCATAACAGCAAATTTTCCTGGTGAAAGCAATGCTGATTTTGAGGTTGTAAACAGACAACAACTTCATTTTTTAGTTATGATTTAGTTATGATTATACAAATCCAAAACTTGTTCACTTGCAAAACCCACTAAGATACTTATGACTCACAAGAAGTAGAAGATGATTCACCAGTTTCTAAGTATTTATAGTTCTGAATGCTCCACTGCTATGTACTGGTAACTGTTACCTATTGAAGATCTATAGCAAATCAGAAATACACTGTACAGTAGAATAAATGAAATAACAAGACATCCAGTGCATGCTCAAGTACAGACAACAGAAGAACATTAGAACAGTTTTCTGTGATAACACCTGAGTTATGTGCCAGGCTGTGTAGGTTGATACTTGTTTCTGTGTGATCATAAACATGTGTTTGTAGAAACCTATACACAGTCATGATGGTTAACACAGCTGAAATTACTGAAAATGTGTAAAAAATATTGAAACCAAAATTCTCACAACACAAATGTTTCGTGGTAAAAAGACAACTGACATACAAACTACATTAACAGTTCACACAACTTACTTCTGTCTGTCAGGAAACACTTGTGAATAAAGTTAAAGAAGCAAATGTCAACCTTTTCACTTGAGTCAGCTGCAGACACCAGGGCTGACATAATGAAAGCAAAGTGCATTAAAATAGATCAGACAAGCTTCCTTGGATAAAATGAATGTGCAAGCAAGTCCTGCAGTCCAAACAGGAGGTTGCTGCTTACTATTCCCTACTTATATCCTGGCCCTAAACTGTACTAAGCAATCCCTGTCAGGTTTTCTTGATGTCTCAGCTCTGTAAAAAAGTTTGCTCTATAAGTTAATGTCAAGAATAGCCACCCTTTCTTTCTCATGTATTTTGGATAAAGGTCTGAGTAAGACTCTATGACTAGACTCAGACTTAACACAGCAAATTAATACTTGTGTTATTTCCATTTTAAATATCAGGGTTAAAATGGATAACCTCACTTATATTAATCTATGACACAATGTGTAATATCTTGTATCCAGGAAAAGGAGAGGAACAGCAGACTGAGAATTATAAATTGGGGTTTTTGATTCATACTTTTATGTATATCTATTAGTCTAAAATGAATTATTCATTTTAAAACAAAAAAAAGGGACTATTGTATTTAAGTACCTAAGCTGCAATTTAGAGCCTGGCATCAACTTTGACCATATAAGCACAAGCTTGAATAAATGTCTGTCTGCAAGGTTCTCACATCAATTTTCCGGTATTTGTATAAAAGCCATGGCAGGACCTTGTACAACTTCTGCAGGTACCTGTCTAAAGATTACTCTCAGTAAAACATGGAATTGATCCCTACATTTCTAAGCTCAGTCTGAAGTATTTTGCAGTGAGGCATCCTTAACCAGCTTCACTTGGCTGTGAAATTTTCTTTTTACTAAAGATTCTCTCCATACTCAACACCTGCCAAGACCAGCACAGCCAAGACATTGCCCATGCAAGGATTTATCTTAGCCAGCCACTTTTGCCCCAGCAGTGCTTGGCAATAGCTCCAGGGCAGCACAAGAGCACTCATTTTTTTATTCCTATTCCATCCCTTCAGTAAACTGTAGATATTTCTGAAGAAAAGTTCCTTCTAGTGATGATTCAGTTGTTAAAAGTGTTAAGCTATCAAGTTTATGCTATAAAAGCCAGACTAGACCTCAACCTTGATCTGTGACAACTTATTGTGGCTGATACTTTATTTTCTAATGATGGTATTTGAATGCCCTGATGCAGATCATCCTGAACAGACTGATAATCTCAGTTTAATCCTCAGCAGCAGGAGATACATCTTGAAAACTTTCAGTTTCTGAATATAACCTACAAAAGAATTTGTACTACCCAAATACAACCTGTAACCATGTACACTTTGGGTCTTAGGAGTGGTGATGTAAGGCAGACCTTCATGATGAGGCTTTTTCTTCTGGAAGGCACTACAAATTTACTTCAACACATGTAGACCTCATCTATTCAAAAATCCATGTGTATTAAAGCAATTAAAAAAGAATAATGTCTTTACCTAAAAGCAATCCTGCTGATCACTGGCGCACTAAGGCAGTGTGCATTAACACAGTCTCTCTCTGCAGCCCAGCCTGCAGAGAAAATAAGCCCAAATGCCTCTGGCCTTTGACAAACACCATGATCTGAGGTGCTGCTTGCCCAATCTCTTTTCTACTGCTGTCTCTATCTAGTCTACTACAGACCAAGATATCACCTTCAAATTCTGGTAATCTTTGAGCAACAGCTTGTCAGGTGAGGGGAGAAAAAGGGGGAGATGTCATGTTTGCCCCATTCTTGCCCTCTCTACTTAGATCCTACTGGGAATTATTGGTATGTGAAGGCTGATTCTGACTTAGTGTAAGCAATGTCACATGGGACTGCATTACAAGACTTACAAAAATTCAGGTTCTAAGAGAACTTCCTAGGAACCTTCGAGATTCTAGTATTTTTCACCTCATTTTTTTCACTTGCTAAGACTGGCTGTTACTTGAACATATCTCTTTCTTTTCTGACCACAGTGGACCCAGAGTTTTAGTGGCGATATCTTGCATCATCCTGTGGAAATCATGAAGGAAATATGTCGGAGATGAGAACACCTATGAAAGTGTCTGGAATACCCTTTAGTTGAGATGTGCCATGCCCTGAGCAGGGAATACTTCCTTCTGTATTGAGATCTATTAACAGTAAAAGAAACAAAAAACAAGTCAAAGAGCCCTTTCTCATGATGTCCTAGAGCAGATTAAAATCATCTTGCTAAAGAAGGCTGCCGTCCCTGACTTCTGTGTGATACTGCAAAGGATTTCCTACATTCTTTTATGGCCTAGTACTGCAATGTATTTTAACTCATTCCAGGCTTCACACAGTTTGTCTCTGTCATAGGCTTTTAGTAACACCTTCATGCATCATCCTATGGGAAATACTTAGGCCACAGTCTTCTCAATATAGTCACATCTAGACTCTTTCTGTGAATATTATAAGAAAACCAAATTTGGTGCCACAGATGGCAAAATTGGATGTGGGATGCTTCATTTGAATAACATTCTCTTTTATTCTATGCTGGCTTCATGGAGGAGGGAAGGAATCTTTTCAGACATTTCCTTCTGTCTCCCTTTCAATGCACCCTGTTGCTGTGCTAAAAAAAGGCACTGGAAAATTGCTCTCTTTACCCACTAAGAGTAAGACAACAACTAAAATTAACCTGAATTACTAAAAATTAGAAAACAGCAACAGTAATCCATCTTACTGAAGAATAACAAAGTTTGTGGTAAGCCACTTTATAAGTTATAGAAGAGACTTCTGTTCTATAAACACAGGCAATTATTTAGGTGTATTCCATCCTGCTTTAAAGAATTACATCAGGTTAGGTAATTTACTTCTGTAACAAGTGGTAAATCTATTCAGTATTTCATTCCAGAGGATACAAAACTTCAGAAACAAACTGAAAATAGTAATTGTCTAACCAGTCCTCTAAATCAAATCAGTGTTAAGTACAATGGGTGGGATTCTCTATCATTAACCAAAAAATATACAGAAAATTTATATTTTCTCCCTAGAGAGAAGCCAGGGCATCAGGTATGCAATGCTATACATATTTCATGAAGTAAATTAGGAAGTGTCGGTGTAAGCAGAAGTTGCAGCCAAATTATGTGAATGAAAAGAAAATTATTATTAATGTCTCATCTTTCAATGTCTTTCAATGTTTATATGGCTTTTGCTAGGAAGGAAGAGGGATTAAACTGTAGGAAAATCATGCTACAAGTGGGCATATCGAGGGATCTGAAGCAATACAGAGCTATGAAAAGGATGGAATATTAATTGTCTTTCCTCATGGACCACATCAACATTATTACTGTTGTGCTGTTGCTCCCAAGAGATGCACTAAAGGGAGACTTTCAAAGTTTTTCACAGTTTCAGCATTTTATCTCAAATATTGTGCTGCTTCTCCATGAAATACATTTCTCTTTCACTGTTTTCCTTTGACATTCATAAGGGTATCATCAATACCCAAGTATTCTTACTGAGGTTCAATCTCATGACAACCTAATTTATGCATAATGATCAGAGATGATACATGATTTCTAGTGGACATTTCTAATTACTATTTCATTCAAGAGGACAGAAAGGATACCTCTATAATTGATTACCTTTACTGATTTATTGTGAGTAAAATCTAGTTTCTGCTAGCAAATGCAAGAGATTAAAATATACCATGAAAATTGAGTTCTCTTCTTGTTTTCTTCTGTTTCTTCCCTGAGTAGTATAAAAGGCATGCACCTGATTTAACATTTAAGGCTCTGAAAGAGATTTTTTTAAAAATGTCAAAAGGAAATATTAGGAAAGGTTGGGAGTGGGAGGAATCCCCTGTCCTCAGTGCTAGGCATGAAAACTTGATGGGAGCTTACTCAAATAAAGTAGCTGCAAAATCATTAATGGAAAAACTAAATTCATGCTATTGTTCCTTTAAACAACAGAAACGAAACATTTATGAAGATTAGGGAAATAAAATTCAGGGTAAAAAGCAACGTCTTGAACTGAGAAATTGGAAGGGACCAGGTATATTGTTACATCAGCATTTCCCGAGGGACAGCAGGTATCATTGACAGAAAAAATATTGTAAAAACCTCCTCTTGAGTGCAGAAAGTTAAAACACATAGCAGGAGCCAAAGCACACCCATACACCTCATTATGTATGAAGAGTGTGCTCTGAAGAAGCCCCACAATCTGACAGCACAGAAGGAATTGAAAAATAACAGACTCTATTTATAGAATGGCTTTAATATCATGGAATCACCTCCATGTAATTATCATCTGTTTTCACATAAAAGAGGTGTATTCTTCACTTAAATCAGTGGTAGAATTATCATTATTATTTTTCCATATATCTTAAACAAAGAACAACGTATGCAGTATCACAAAGAAACTGTAAGAGGTAGGCACTTTCATGTGTCTCTATTTCTACCTATTAAAATGAATCCTAAAATAAAAGTCTCTTTAATAAAAAAAAAAATTAGTGAAAAACAGATTTGTGGAAATTCACAAGCATCAGAAGGCTATTTGTGACCCTGTAGAGTCCTTATGTCCTAGACTATAAGAAAACATACATGATAGCGGGATTTGGTTTAATATTTTGTAGGTCACAAGAAGTTACTCTGCCACTGAAAAGGACTCTTATTCCAAAACCATTCTTCTGACATTTAAAAATGCTTGCTACTTTGTGTTCAGTATTGTTCAAGTGGAGTTGGTATGGAATATATGAAGAAAAAATTCTAACATAGAAAGGATTACTGGCTTGTTTGCAGCTTTCCATTCCAAAGACTTGTCCCATTGCTTCTTATCTATTGCAGTGTAAACATATGTATTTCCTTTAGCAATTAATTGTGTAATCACCTACTAAAACTTGAAGTTTTAGGTAGCTCTTTTAGTGTATTTTTTCCCTAGTCCTGTGCACGGTTGATTTTTTCTATTAACATCTCTCTCTACATTCAGAGCAGAGCAGAGGACCTGCTCTGGAGCTCATGAATTAGGAAAGAATGCCTGTTTGTCCTGAGTAAGGCAGCAGAATTGAACCCCACATGGGATTCCCTTGTTCTAGCGGCTGGTGTGGTATTCACATGCCCTCTGAACAGGGAGAGACTTGGCTTTCTCAGGATTTCTCCTGAGAGAAGCAGAGAAAAGAGAATCAAAACAATTCTTATCTCATTTACTGCTCCTGTTTGTGCCCATGTGGAATGTCGTATGGAGATTCCTTACTCAAGGTGGTTGCTTGATTGGATTCTGGTGATGGTTGTTTAGATTAATTGATTATTATTAATAACATAATTGGTTATTAATAATATTTATTAGTATAATATAATAAAGCTATAATATAATATAGTATAATAAAATAATTAATTAGCCTTCTAAAAGCATTAGAATTCAAACATCATTCTTCCCACATCAAACATCCCAACACTGACAGGCTTGCTTTACTGTTCACCTCCCTGGGTGCTGTTTCTGCCAGCCCCACTGAACACCTGTAGCTGTGCTGTGCCTAAACCTTCTCCAAACAGCACCGCAGCTGCCAGCAGGCACACGAGAAAACTGAGATGTGAATAAACTGCTACCAGGTAAGGTTGTTCTACCAGGTGAACCAATTTATGAGTCACCAGTTAATATATTTTGTCCCTTGCTGTTTCTGCCTTCTTCTTCTTCATACATACAAAGCACTGCAGGACATAACAACTTTTTCTGTTCCTTTTATGGATCTAAAATTAATGAGCATTTAAAAAAAATATTCCAAGAAAAAAAAAACAACTTGATTTAGGATTAAAATTAGAAATAATGTTTTGAATTTCATTATCAACCATCACACTTAATAAACCTCCTATTCTTTTTTTATTTTAAGCTGTATAAGAAAATAAAATCTAATAATAGATTAGATAGAAATATCAAGCATGCTAATGGATTTTTATAACCATACTTACAGAAAAAACAGCAGCCAGAGTCTCAACACCACCAGTACTTAGTGTAACATAAGGGATTGTTTCATGCTTGATCCCAGATTCACTAAAGATGTTGTTTGTGTAGTACCAGATCTGTATCAGAGAAAATAAAATGAGTTATTTCTCATTATAGGTTGAAATAAAATATATTGGTATTCAGTTCAACCATCTAATCTGCTTCAGGCTAGACTTGTTAAAACTCTGAGCAGTCCCAGGTCACCGAGAGCCGAACAGGACAACAGATGCAGGGCAAGTGCAAATTCCAGGTGGATTAGGCACACCACTGCTGTAGTTCCACTTGCAGACCCAGGCAGAATTACAAACAGCTTCAACTCAATTTAGCTTAAATCACTTTAGGAGTAAATTGAAGAAACTCACTTTATGCTTGAACAACAGGATACAAATAGGCTTTGTGTGGCTTACAAAGCAAGCTCCTGTAACTTTATGGAATACTTCAATAGCATGTAACAACAGAGGAGAGAACAGGAGAGAGATGTTGTGAGGCACTGAAGAAGTTGATCAATTTTGGACAGAAGGAGTGAGGTGTTATTTCTGCTTTACCCTTACTGGAGTCAAGCCATCCCCCCAGTCTCTCTTTATTATCCACAGAAAGGAAAGATACTTTTAAAATTAGAGTTGCTTGGGGAAAAGTAATGTGCTGTTTTAATCATAGGCTTGAAGTAGCTGTCACTAATGGACAGAAATACAGGTTGTATGACTTAGAGGAGGTCAATCATATTTAGTCAGTAAAACCATATCCAGACAGAGAATATATAGTGGCAACATTCTAAAATAGCAAGCCTGGTAAGCATCAGAGTCTCATTCACATCAACTTCCCACTTTGGGAAAAACTCCCTTAGAGCAGTATGTCATACAATTTATTCCCTGATATGAAAAAGTATAACCTTCACCAGTGAAACTTCACCATAGGTTTGTGACTTCTTTAGAACTGAGATAAAATGGTGGAGGATAAATAAATTTATTATGGCTAATATGTATCAGATAAATGTTAACAGAGTAAAAGAGACTAATAGGAAATAATTTATTTATGTCAGTTTAGGTCAGGCTGTCTGGTATTTTGTTATAATTGAAAACATTAACATGATCAGAGGTTCACCATGATTTCTGTTCCATGTGGAAATAAACAAATGTATTGTTTTAAGCAAAACAAATTTTTGTTTGAAGTAAAATCCTTAAAAAGAAGCAAGTGTTCTCAGGTGCCATCAGGAAGATTACAGAAATCTGCCAGTTGGCAATTTCCCTGGAGAATGACCTGAGATTCTCGCCTGAAGGAATCCCAACTTTCCCATATGCCCTGTCCAGATGGTAGCCGTGGAAAAGACCAGACTGGCTAACAGGGCACTACAGACAAACAGATGAGTTAGAAGGAGCCTTCCCTGCCAGCAAAGCCTGGTTGGTGCTGGCTCACACCCAGCAGGTTGGTTCAGATGCACTCAGGCAAACCAAGACCCAGGTTCACCAATATCTGTCACACCTGGACCTGTCCCCTCATCTTGGAGCTTCAGATGACTGGAGCAGCATCAGCCAGGAAAGCCAAGCAAAAGGGACAAGTTTTTGAAGCCTGGTCCCTTAATCAAGTGGTCCAGCTATTTCTCTTGATCTGTCTCTTAATTTTCTTGGTTTTCCTATTAACTGTTACTAACAACTCTTTAAATAATCCATTTCAGAACGCAGTTTTTGTGTGAATAATTTTTTTGTGTGTGTGTTTGGTGACATGAGAAGAGAAAGAGAGTAATAATAAAAAAGGAAGACCTGAAACAACCAACTCAACACACAGGTTCCCTGACAACAACAGTTTTTCTGAGGCATATTTTCAGAAAGTGGCCATACAATGACACTTTTAAGTAACTCTGGAATTCATTTTGGACTGGACATGTCTGACTGTCCACGCACATCAACACTTAAGCCATGAGAGTGTGGCTTTGTTTTGCCACAGAATACTGGACAATTTCCATCAACTATTAAGTATCCTCAAAGTCACAAAACTCTTCAATTTCCCCTGAAAATTTAGCTGTGTCCTTTTCTTATAGACAATGTTCTTCATTTTTTGAACAGTCTGTTTGCTACTATAAGTGTCATTTTTTTCTCTTGTGTGTTGATAAATCTTAAATAGACTGGATGACAAGATAATTCTGGGGTTTTTTTTTCTCAAAAATGTATCCACAATGAGGAATAAAATAACCTGCCATTAGCACTGAAATACTACCATTAGAAGAAAACACCACCTATACACACATTATTGTAGTTTACTCCACAGGATGAAAAAATGCTTTTAGTTCCCTCCTAGTATTTCCAAAAAGAGTTCCAATTGCATTATTTCAAATGGTCTTGGAGAAATTACTTTTATTTGGAGTCTTAAAGCTATAGAGATACCTGAGATAAGCCTGAGCTAGTGTTCATAGACACTAATGCATACAGACTTATTAGCCCTGGGGGGAAAATCTAGCTGGAGTGTGCTTCAGAGCACAGTGAGAGCTCCTTGAAGCAGTGAGAATAGTGCTTTTCATATATTTAAGCAAGTATGCCTCTGAACTATGACAAAAAACCCTTTCCCTTCGAGGTGCTTCATGAGAATATTTGTTTTGTGTTGCACAAAGCATCTAAGCCAGATGCCACAAGCTGCAGCAAGGATAGTTCTGGCTGGATATAAAGAAAACACTTTTCACAGTGTAAGTAGTATAAACACCTGGCAGAGGTTGCCCAGGAGGGTTATGGACTCTTCACCCTTGAATATGTTTAAAACACAACTGCACAAGGTCTGAACTCATTCCTGCTCTAGCCAAGGGCTTGGACCAGGTGGAGGGATCTTCTGACCTAAACTGTCCTGTGACCTTTTCATATAGGCTCAGATAGGTGTTGAAGGAGACTTCTGATATCCATTAGCCTCAGACATATTAATGGTCAATAGGATTCACTGTTTGATGTCTTTTCCCTCTTTTGCTTCATTTTCCAAGACAGGAATACTGAAGCAGCAAAAAAATCAAATATGCAATGTGACCTTTTAAATTCACTTACAGGAAGTTTTGATGACTTCTGACTTCTGTAATTACTGAACTCAATGAAGCCAAGCTGAAATGTCTACTGAAAAACTCTGAATGAGCATGGTGCATATTCAGAAACAGAGAATCTGAGTATCAGAAGTGAAAGCTGCATGCTCTTTTATGATCTTTTCTACTTTTTCTTGTATTCCTTCAAAGTTAACACAACATGGCTTTCCTCAAACTTTTTGTTTTAAAAGCCCCCAAGCAGAACAGATCTTTGTGGATCTTCCCACACACTGCTCTCGCAGAGTCATTACTAATACGAAACAGCCAAAAAACGGAATTCATAGAGGTTGGTAAATAGTGTAATCCAAACCTTGTCATAAAGGAAGGGAGCTCCCCAGGAGGTGCCATGGCCTGAGGAAGGACACTTACAGCATTTAGCCCGCAGAGCTGGTAGCAGCCCATGGTGACGACCACGGTCAGGATCTGCCATCGCGCTGCGCGGGTTCTCAGGAGCTGAACAACCGACACCATCTTGGTGTTCCTTTGGGCTCGAGACTCTGCCAAAACTTCTTCTATTTCCTGAGACACGTCATCTTTCCCAAGGAATCTCTGAAATGCTGCAAAGAGAGGACATGTACTTTGGGCCAGATGCTTGGCACTATGTGCATTTATACCTGTTTTGCATCTTTAAAAGGGAAATGCTTGGCACAAACAGGAGGCATACATGGGCTACAACTTAATTATTCTGCCAACAATATCATTCTGCTCTGGATGCGATCTGGTTCATCCTTGCTATTGGGCTCAAAAACTGAAACAAAACCATAAATTGTTTCCCTACAAGATCTCTCTTGTGTTATTTCATATATAATACAGTCTAAGGTCTACTGAAGAGTGAAAATCCTGTATGACTTGAAATTATTTATTACCAAAGCATCTCTGAACATTATTTAACTTAGCTACTTTTGCAGCCTAACGGTATAGCTGGCTTTGTTGCAGGAGATAGATTGGATAGAGAAGTAGTTAAATGTAAAAATGCATATAAGTCTGGTAAACCAAGAAAAGGCAGACCTTGGAAAGGAATAGCTACTACTCTTCATATTACCTCTTGTATTTACTAGCATGTAGGCAAGAATTCACTTTGTCAAGGTGATTCATATTAGAAATAATTACCCAGAGCAGTTTAAGACTTTATATTTTCCAATATGGAGTCACGGGAACAAATTTACGTGGCCAATGTAAGCAAGCAACTAACCTCATCTCCCCAGAAACACACCATTTAGTACTGAACACTGAAATATCCTTCCACTGTGAAAAAAACAGGCTTTGCACCTCATACCTCCTCCAAGACAGAGACACCTCTGACTGGATGTGATGTGTCTCCACCTTGTTTGACAGATACTGTCTGTGCAGGTAATACTTTTGTCTCAATCTAATGAACTACCCCAGGGGTTGGCATTTTAAGAGATGTTTAAAATGCTCATCACCTCAAAGTGACTGCAGAGAAACAATGATATTACAAACACACCTGCAACAAGGCTTCATGACCCAGTAGGATGCTAACACTCAAAACAATCCTTTACACAGCAGGTCACTTAAAATTGTTATTTTTATTAAATGAATAAGTTAATTTAGTTCACCTAAGAGCCAAATCAATTTTTCATAACCACAGCTTTGCGTAACACTGCCTATAAACAAATGAATGTATATGTCAGTATGTTTACGCACTTTTGGATCATAAAAAAGCACTTTGATGGTCAAGAAAACTAGATATACTGACTAGTCATGGTTAATACATCCAGACTTTATTTAGATTTTGAAGTTACAAAATTTTATCTTTACCTGGGTGAAAAGGCCAATGAGTGGCATTTCATTGTTATGAGGGAGAGGTCACACAAATGAACTGGTGGCCTCCCAAATTATCCCTCTCTGACACTTTGGTGAATGCACAAGGCTGCACATTCTGCCTGCTCCTGGTCTGACAGTGCAGGGAACTACAGCTCTGGGCCGAGTTTTTCTGAGGCACTTAGCACTTGCATTTTAATGGACCCCACCTGATTCTGCTTAACAAGAAGGATGATTTTTTTAAAGGGATGAACCAGCTCTGGGTGTTGAGTAAATTCATAACATTCATATATTCTGATAACCAGTTTCTCTCTTGTGAGAGTAGAGGCCAGAATTTTTAAATCTCTCAGTGTAAGTATGAGACTTATCTTTTCACACAGGCTGTACAATCAGAAATGAATTAACAAATTGAGATCTCAGAACTAAAACTTTAAGCTGCTCAGTCTTGTCCTTCATTATTGCCCATTTTTTAATAAATGACATGCTAAACACTCATTTTAACTAGTGTGTCATTTTAAAGACAGCGATAAGAAATGTAAAATTAGATCAATGTGTGCCTACAGCATGTTTAAGTCAATGTCTCATGCTGAAATTACATTTTCCTCACTACTATTACAATGTTGATCAAAAAAAATTCAGGTAAAGATAAGAACAACCAGACATACTATCAAACAACAGCATCACCATAGTCTTCCATGAAAGGATTCTCTCAGATTTTTAAGCATCTGGTTTATCAGTGTAAATTAGGTCAGTGCACAATTTTGTTTATTTTTCCTGTCCTTAGAATCCTCAGCATTACTTTAGGTCACACAAGTCAAAAATGTAGGTACAGTCAAGTAAAAATATAGCAATCTGTCTTTTTTGCACAAGGGAGTTTGATGTATTTCTAGAGGGATGAGGAACTAAAAAACTGCAATTACCAAAATTGTCAAGTACAAGGCAGGAAAAAACATAGACACCCAATTTCTTTCCTTCATGGCATTAAGTAAACGGATATAAATGCCACTAGGCAACAGTGATGGATACTTAAAATTACCAACAAGTCAAGAAATACTAAGAAATTACTATGGTATACATGTATAGTTTTGAATAGACATCACAAATGTTTTTCTTGGAAAAACATTTTCCTGCTACTCAATGTCTTTAATTTTCTTCCATTACCAGCTTTTCAGTACCATAAGAATCACAATTTTATATATAAATAACGTGGAAATAAATTCTGCATTAGCAGGGAGATAGGGAAAATCAAAAATCTTTCAATGTGTGATGCTCAGTCTATTAGTTTTACATTCTAAACCCTGCCATTACTGGCACTGAGAAGCACAGAAGTTGTTCCTCTCCTCCCTGCAATGATTCATTTCCCTCTGTGATGGGTTGCTTCTCACCGTAGGGAAGCTTTATTTTCATGTAACACTTAACACATCCAAGGAGTTACAATTCTAGAACCTTTTAAAGCTTTCCAGATTCCTATTTCATTCTCTTGGATCAGAAGGTTTTAGAAGCTCAGCCTCCAAAAGTTGAAATACTGCCTTTATAAACAGGAAAAGAACTGGATGGTTCCAGTCAAGGGGAAAGGGGTCAGGAAACCCTTCCATTTACTCCAGTTTTTATTTATCTCACTTAGTGAAGGTGAAACAACTGAAAGAGGTTCAAAGATCTGAAAAAAAGTCAGTTGATACCATCTCTAAAACCAATCAGGCCTTTAAATTAACTCAAGATGGGCACTCAACATCTCAGCTACATAGGGAATTACTAATTCTTTTCCTACTATGGTACTTCCAGGACTGTGCAAAGAAAGTTGTTATCAACAGAGTTAGCATGTGAACTTTGAGAAGAAATATTAAAAGATCAAAATGGTATTGAGTGGTTTACAGTATAAAGCCAGCACCGGGCAGAAAAAGAGAGAAGTGGTCAAAGTTTGTTTGGGCTTATCCTCTGAAAAGAAACAGACAAAAATTTAAATAAGCTGCAGGAGTATTATTGTCATCTGTTTCCCACAGGCACATTCACTTCCCTGATGATTAATTATATTAAATCCAGTGTCACACTGTCTCACACATCTTTGTCTAAATTCTGCTTAAACAGCATCTTATTTGGCCACTGTTGAAGGTAGTAGAAATTTCCCTGTAATAACTCCATGTTACCACAGAAATAGTTCACGAAATGAACTAACAGTTATTTCATGTAAACTAATTTTATTAGAGTACTGAAGATCCAGAAGAATAACTCACTTGTATCTTCCTAGAAGAGATATAATAATGCTATCTAAATCTAGAAAAATATAGATTATCTACTAGCATGCAGCATAGCAAAATTTAAGAAAAAAATCTCAGGCAATATAACTGCAGGCAAATGACCTTAGGCTTTTCCTACATGTCACCTCCCTCTTCTTCTAAGTAAAGAACACGTAGATATTTTTTGAGTTATTATCCAGTGAAGGATTATATGTTTGCCTGTTTGTATGTGTGGTTTTACACACATCAATAAGCCTGTTTCAGGTTAACCTGAAACTAGCCAAAACAAAACATATACACACCACCCTAAAAGAACACAAGAATTGGTTAACAGGGTTGTATTAAAGGTTTAATGACCTAATATCCTTTCTAAAATATAGGAGGCTTAAGAAAAGTTTAAAAACAAATCAGACACACCACAATCACTCCAGCTTTTGGCAGGGAAACATCTGAGATAAAGCCTTCACAAAAAGTCAGCAAGTGTGGTAGTCATGGCTATCTCTTCCTTTCTTATTCCAGTAAGAATAGTTTATAATCCTTACAGATATACAAAACCCACAGAGCAACAAAAATAAATCATATATGTGCTTGTTGTCAGTCATAACAACTTATTTTAATCACTGGATTTGTAGTAACTTGTTCCCGCTGTTAAAGTTTGGGTTTAACACCTCTCCAGTCCATGTGGGTCCCCTGAAGGACTTTGAAGAAAATTAGCTGCCTGCTTTTTTAAATCAGGATTGGGCTTGCTCTTTTGTCACATGAAAAGGTATCAACCCTAATCCATATTTCTAAAAATTTAAATCTATGCTTCTCATTATACCTATTGTAATGCTTCTTTCATAATCATGGGACTTACAACAGATGACTGAACATACTAGATGAACAGATTTTATATGTCACCAACAGATGTTGCTGTGACATTTTATGGAAGTTGTTTGACCCTTAAGACATAACAATATTCTTTTCTCTGGCAAGCTGGGACACCAGCTGAATTCCATTACTGATTTACATGACCTGCTCCTGTCACTGCATAGAAAATGGAAAATGCAAGATTCCTCCCTGTAACAGCGCACTTCAAAAAAGACACCTCAGCTGTCCAATTGCAAGTATTAATAACCTATGTTGTTAGTCATAAAAAATGTTCCATTTTATCAATACTACTGATTTTATTTACATTACATCGTGATACTCACAGATCAGGGGTGCACTTGGCATGTAACTAATAGACAGCTAATGGGAAATCCCTGTCTTACTGTCCTAGAACTTGGATGGTAAACTGATGTAATTATAGCAACAGGTTTTTTTTTTCTTCCTGTTTCTATCCCTATCATTCTTCATCTCTGCAATCTCCTTCCAAAGTCCTTCTCTTCAACCACTTGGGTAGCCATTTCTCCTCTGCTGTCTGGCCTTGATTAAGAAGAAGGATCACACCAGTCAAATGTTATGCAATTTCTTCCCTTCTCTTCTTATCAAATGAGCAGAATATTAGTTATGGGACCTGGGAGAGGAGCTGGGATGGTTCTGCCCTTACTCCATTACCAGACTTAGTTTCTTGGGCAAAGCAGATTTACAGATTACACTGTTGTTCCCGTGGACTGTTCTCTCCCCAAAACACATGGATCAGTTCTCCCACGTTCAGCTGTGAGACAGGAATACGAGAGATAATTCAGTTCCTTTGGGTCTCAGGGAGTAGGATACAGGTTGGTGACATCCAGGAAGATAAGCCAAGCTCATCAGTCAGGGCTGCTTTTGGCAGCAGACAGCAGCAAGTCAGACATGGTGTCTGCGTGTCCGACGTCGGCTCAGCCGCGCACAGCGGCACTGCCTGCGCTGCTGCAAAGGGGAAAGCAGGGCACAGGCTAAAACCCTGCTAGTGGGGCTCAGGAGATCTCACTCATCAGAGGCATTGCTGCCCCTGTGTCCCAAAAAATAGCTTCTTTCATGGTGGAGTGGTTTAGGCTGGCACATGATGCCTTTCTACTCTAACCCTCTACCCTCATTCCTTCATTTTTCATTGTTCACACAACGTGTTTTAGTCCTTCCCCGTCTCTCAGTCTCTTCTTTGCCCCTTAAAGACATCTGCCAGAAAAGAGTTGACACCACTAGTATTTTGGTAATTATAGACTGGTTGTCTCCTGAGACAAAGAAGAAAAGGAGGGGATGAAAGCAGGGGCAAAACTTTGTGGAAACTCAATGACCTAAATTATCTCATTGGATATTATTGCTCTCAAATAATTAGGAAGATTAATGTTGTCAGCTCCATTTTAGGAGCTTTGACATACATGCATACTTTAGACTACTTCATAAAGACTAACATAGTAATCTGCTTTAAATACAGCAGACCTTTTGCAAATAATAGTTTTATATCTCTCTGACAAGGTATAATCCACAGTGAAATATATATTTGCATGAAAAGCCTTGATCCATTAAGGGAAAGAAAAGGGATTTAGTCAGTAGAATGAGTTGCAAATTTCCAATATTAATATGCAGATTTAAGCTAAGAGACAAATAATTTAAAAGCATTACTCTAGTCATCATTAAAATGAAGATTTCTGCTTTGTCATTATATGACTTGCAAGCAGAAGGGCATTTGAATAAATCACAACTCCTCCAGTCTCCTTAATACTTAAACTTTTCCTCCCCCATTTCTGCTGATAATGCAAATGTCCAGATGATTTTTCTCAATTGTTGATTCCTATTCTTTGAATTCCACTGTAGATTACACTCAAAATGAGTTACACTGTAGAATACAACATATCTACAACATAAGAATTGAGTCTTTTCTTTTAGAATTAATAAAATCCAAAAGCATATATTCATATGCAGTTTCTTTGAAAAAAAATTTTATATCAGCTTTCCCTTTTTTTCCCAGAATATCTAAATTTATAATCCTTAGGGTGGCTCATGAAAGCCATCTTCTTGTAATCAGCAAACCATCAACTAAAGCTCATTCCCCAGGCAATTGCTCTCCTGATGCCTTCTACTCCGAAACCTACCTCCAATGCCTCTGGATTAGATTTCAAATTATTTTCAGAACATGTATGCTGAAAACATCCCAGAGTGCAGTTGGTACATTACTAGCAACAGTAAATGGTGCGAATTTCAAGGCAGGTGGCGTTATTTTACTGCCATGTTTTATAATTTTTAAACGTTACCTATGAGAGGTCCAGTTTCATTGTCAGTGCTGAGGTCTCCAGGTACTGTAGCAGGATTTTCAATAATTCCTCATAGCAAGTTAACATTATGCAATAGCATTGCAGATGCAGAATCTTTGCCAGCCACAGCTCTGGAACTATATCTGCAGTTTTGTCAGGCAGAAACGAGCCAGTTTAAACTTGGCACCCAAAAGCATTTCTGCCCTGCCCAGCCAAGGTGCTGCAGAAGTTTCCACCCAGCAGGCAACCCGAGCTGGGTCCTGCACCCCTGCTGGGTGCTCTGAGCTGGCAGGGCAGCCCTTTCCTTCATGGACCTTGGAAAAGCTGCTCTCTGCCTCCTCAAAACTCTGTTGACTCTGTGATGCTTAAGAACACTTTCCAAAACCTTGTTGCTTTTGTGCTCCTTTTTTTTTTTTTTTTTTTTTTTAAGCATTGAACTGTATCTCTGAGTGTCTGAGGCTCCAACCTTTACAGAATTCTTCACTCAACACCTAATTGAGACAACATGGGAGTCTCTCCATTAGTGTGCTATTTCTTTTTCAGAGGGCTCTTCAGAACAAAAAAGGCAAATTTTTAGTTTCAAAATACAAGAAACTGGATAGAGTTGCATTAATTTCATGCTAAAAGATTATTAAATTTATATTTCAGATGTTGATACACACTTTACAAGTAATTTTGCAACTAATTCATGACTGAAAATGTTAAGGGTCATATTCAAACAAAGCTTTTAAGAGCAGTTTGTAAAGCACTTATGTTTGGTATTTTGGTATTATAATCAGACTCCTTTTTTATAGACTCATGTTTTTCATATGTTGTTATAAATAGTTAATCAAATTTTTTAACATTCCCTCACCTGTATTGGGACCATAGTAAATTTACTGGGGTGGAGAATGCAGCAACTGTGATCATGCAAGCAAATAGTTTTATACTTGGAACCTGAAGTAAGGACAAAATATTCTGTGTCTGTGAAGCTGAAACAATATGGAAGCGTTGGAATTTTCCGGTTAAACAGATGCATGGGTTTTTTTATTAGACCAACAAAGGTTATTGAGTTACAGAGCACAGGTCAAACACAGCGATTACTGGGGGGAAAAAAGCAGCAACAGAATCTGTATTTTTGTTAGACAAAGTGCAAAGACTGTAGATAAGGGAGAATCACAATGAAACCACCTTTTACTTTCAAATGAACCCTGCACAGAGTGGCTGGCACACAACAGCAGAATGATTTGGTTAGTTCTGTGTCACCATGTGTAATGTTATACAAGTTACCTTGCTGGAGAATTTAATTTAAAAAAACTTCAAAGCTGCAGCTGTATTTACGTATACAGAGACAAACAAAAAAGGTGAGAAAAAATTATTGCAAAGAGATTCTCTCCTATGAGAATATTCTGCTTCTAGTGTAGTATCAGAATCAGGTATCTCCAGCCTGAATCCCTACAATAAACACACTTTGTTGCAAAAGGTAACATTATCATACCTTTTTCTGCCTTGCTCCTATTATGCTTTTCGAGTAGGAGGTACCGAGGACTTTCGGGAAGAAAAGGCAAAATCATGACTTGTATCAATGATGGAACAATGATTACTCCAAATAAGAAAGGCCACCGAGATTCCTGCAAAGGGATGCAAACATGAGTCAGTAATACTCTCCCAATGTGACACTTGGAAGAAAAATAGCTTTGATAGGAAATACTGTGATTTTTCATCACTCAAAGTGTTGTGTTCACCACCAGAGTGACGTGTTCCTCCTAAGCTTAGTAAGTGCTTTAAACACTTCCCTCTCAGATCACCTTGCTCAAATGGGCCAAGCTCCCAAGCTATTTTCCATTGACAGTTTTTATGTTACATTCTTTCACTTCAGCAAGGCCTAAAGCACCACGTTCTGCATGGTATGAGATGTAACCCGCACCTCAAACCTAAAACAGGGCCCAAGATAACCAAATAACTCCCAGGAATAATGAGTAGGGTATCTCCTAATCAAACTTTCATCTTGCCCTTTTAGGTAAGAGAAATGGTTTTTAAAAATTCTCCTGTGATGGGAAAACAACTTGAGTAAGTGTTTTTTCAAACAATTTAACTCTTGAGGTAATCACTTACCCTAAAAGCCTGCATTACCATGAAGGCTTCAAGATCCTATTTCTTCATTCGTGTTTTCTTTATTTTTTTCCACTTGAGTGGAAAATTTCATGTGAAGTAGGTGAACCAAAAGTGGTTAATACTGTTTATGGACAAACAAGTCTGAATCTTATTTTAAAAACTAGAAAACTAAGGTTAAGTCTTTAAAACAAGTCAATAATCACATAACCAAAATGGGTATTGGTTTGTAAAAAGTAACTTAGGAAAACAAGTAGTATAACTTGTCACCTTCATTCCATGTCTGCCTGGAATAATTTCCTGTACTATAAAGCTGTTTGCTATGTACCATATAAAAAATTATAGGGTGTTAGAAATTTTGACAATACCTCCAGATAAAAATCTTACTCTTGATCAGCACATCATATTTTCTGTAGGTTTTTCCCCTCCATGTAAAGAACAATTTTTAAAAGGAAAAAGAGTATTCTTTGTATACTGTTATTATCAGCACTCTGCCTACCTATGGAGACTTCCATGGAATAAACTTACACTCCTTTTAAAGTCTCCTATAATGTATGGTTTATAAGTTGATCACATTTATCACAAATATCTCTTCTTGAAAGCACTATTTTGAAAAAGTTATGAACAAACTCCGAACTTACCCTTCACAATAAATAGCAAACCCTGCTACTATAATGAAAAACCTTTTATTTTTGCCACATAAGACACAGAGTTTCCTTTATTTCCTCTATTAAAGATATCTGTTGTACTCTTTATCATGCTAACTTTTAAAACCTTAAGGTAAACTCATAAATACTCATAAATGCTCATAAATATGCTCCCACTTGCCATTTTGGCATGAATTGATCAGAAAGCCACTGAAGCCAGTGGAAACTTTTCCATCCATTTCAAAAGATTTCATGTCTATTCAACATCATGGACTGTGTGTTCTACTTGCTTTTCTCTTTATTTACATTATACAACCTTAAGTCTTTCCTTCCACTACAGAAAATAAATAGTAGGATTAATATAAGTTTAAAGGATTCATTAAAATTTATGGAAATCAGGTTGAACTAGACCCTATAAGGAAAATTAAGAGAAGAAGGCAAAAGGAGGGTTTCATAACCTCTTTAAGAAGGAATAGAATAGGACATATACTGGGACAGTGCTCAGAAGCAGTATAGGCTAAAGGCAAAAGACAGTGTAGGTGACTTAGAAGACATTTAAAACACTTTACCTCAATTGTCAGCAGTAAGGAGAAGCACACAGGCACTGCTGGGAGAAATGAAAACAACTACATCCCACTTTATTTCAGGGAAAACTTAAAAGAGCATGAAATGTTTTAATTACAGGGGACCTGATTTTATCACCCGCTCAGAATTTGTACAAATAAGTTGTCGAGATGGTAAAATTTTCATTTTAAACTGTCACATTATGGATATTTGCTTAGGCTGGAGCATGAAAAACCTGGCTTTGATGTATTTAAAAAAGACAGTTAAACAGTAGAGCAAGTTTGACAACCACAGACTCATTCAAAGTTTGATGGAATAAAGTGCAAAGCTGCAGAGATAGAAGACTGGGTGGAAGGGAGGGAGATAAAGTATGGCATGGATTTATCAGCTGCAAATGAAACAAGATTATGGTGCGCTGAAATACAGTAAAGAAAATGTTGCCATGTCAAAAAATCATCAGCTAAAATACAGAAAATGGAACTTATTGTAGCCATCAAAAGGTGGAAAAGTGGCATGGGGAAATATCAACAGGCACTGCTGACAGCTGAACTATCCCTATCAAACTCAATAACCTATTTAAACACCAGTTACTTTTAGTTTAATTCCCAGTAATTAAGAAGATTTTGATAAATTATGAAGACACTCTCAACACAGACCAGGCAAACAATATACACATAAATACATTTTAAAGGGAAAATTATTAATAGAATAGAACATTGTTAACATAATAGAATTGTTAACAAGGTCGTGCAACGTGAGAAGAAGTGCTGTAGTGCCCTGGACATGGGCATCCATTTTTTGTGGCAAACTAAATAACCCAGTATGAGATGGATTACAGGATCAAAAAGATTGAGTAACGAAATATGCAACTGTGACAGGCTTCACTCTCTCTGTTTCTCTCTAAATAATTTCACAGAAACAAAGAAACATAGAATGTTTAGGGATCTCTAAGATCATCTTGTTCCAGTACCCTGCCATGGTCAGAGACACCTTCTACTATCCCAGGTTCCTCAGAGCCCCATCCAGCCTGTCCTTGCACACTTCCAGGGCTGGAGCATCCATAGTTTCTCTGGGCAGTCTGGTCCAGTGTCTCACCACTCTCATAGTGAAAGATTTCTTCCTAACTTCTAAGCTAAACCTCTTCTCTTTTAGTTTAATAAATATATTTAAATTATTTATTTATCTATTTATTTTAAAAGCATAATCTGGGCATAGATTATGCTCACAACTCAACCACTACTGCACAGTCAGGGTCCTCGTTTGCTCTCTGCCCAGAGTTTGGTTTCTGTGCTGTGGAGATCCCCATGTCCCATTGAGCATCCTGACCCCAGCTGCTCCCAGGCAAACTTCCCACATCCTGTCTCCTGTCCTTTCTAGAGCCACAGGGAAATGCCTCTACCCCAAACACCTTCTCCTAGGCTCAGGCTGGACATGGGGTAGCACAGGGCACTCCCCAGTCCTGCTCTGCATCCCTGTGCAGCCACCATGCTGCCTCACAGGACTGTCAAGTGTTTAGCTACCTCTACTGCTGGAAATGTGCAGGAGATGGTATCAAAATAAATACTCTTTCCCCTTTGTTAGCATTCAGTGCACAGGATGAACTGTGATCTCTCAGTGAGCAAGTCTATTTACCAGACACTATTAACTAGTCACCATTTAAGTATTTATTCTGGAATTAATTACTTGGGGATGGGGTTGTGAAGATTTTACTACAGTTCTGAACAACTTATAAACAGAAATGATCTTTTTGTATAATTTTCTTGTGTAAAATGACATATTTTACCCATTTTGTATGTGGGGAACAAAGAGACAAAAGCCTCTGGCATCCAATGCAAGATACTGAAAATATCCAGGAAATAGTGATTTGGTAATCTCTTATTTTTCATTTTCTATAAAAAACAGGAACACTTTTAAAATTTTAGTTTTGCAAATCACACACACAGACAGAAAGAATTACATCTATTTTAATTTTTAGATGCCCTGAAGCATCTGGCCTCAGCTGCAGCTACAGAAGGATGCAGGTCTCTGTGATATTCTGTGTCACATCTGCCAGTCTCACAGGGACACCTAAAGTACCATAGGGCATCAAGATTATACTATCTGCTTATATTCAAGCAATTGAATTTTGTCATTTCTTGTACAGACTTGGCACAAAAAATACATATCAGAAATATTCCATTTTCCCCGGAAAAAAAAAAAAAAAAGTTATCCCTGCTCAGAACAGACTAGGTAAACCTAGGTATGCAAAGCCCAGAATACTGCACAAGTTCAGCCTTTCTCTGTTAATCTGCTACCACACCACATAAAACACTCCTAAAAGTAAAGGACATCCACGCTGGCCTGGGGCCGAGGACTGAAAAAGCACTGAGGTGGAACTAATTTCTTAGCATTAGAACTATCTTTTCTTCCTTTAGTCAAGGGTATGGCACAGTGGTGATGATCATGAGAAAAGAGAACTTCTACATCTCAGATTTCAGAGCAGCTACTCAAGTAAGGTGCAAAACAACTGCTTTCCTCTTACCTTCTTTGTACCACTCCAATCACAGCTCTACAATCTCCTCTGGCTGCAGAGGGTGCTAATCTCACAGTGACATCCCTGCTGGACACAATTTTCTCTTTGCATAACATTTCTGTGACCCAATTTGTCAAAACTTATTTCAATAAGAGAGTTACAAATTTCTTACCTCCCTGTTTAAAACAGAGGCAACTCAGATAATAAGTGTATTTCACTTCTGTTCTGCACCCAGATGTGTATTTTTACAGGTCACTTCTACAGCTATAGCTCTGACAAGAAGATTACTCAAGTATCAGTATCTTCCCAAGTAATAATCAGTACAGAAAGTCACAGACTTAAGGCTGTACCAGTCTGATGTAAAATTCACAGAAATCAGCAGGAGATTTTTGTTACTGAGTAAATGGCCTCTGGATGAGAACTTAAAATGGCTTTGAAAGTGTCCAGTGTCTGCTTCTCTGTTCACTAAATGGTATGTTAGACCATGGACTATTGAGAGGGAGAATTAAAGTATCTTTACAAGCTTCCCAGATGGTTTTTTTGTCCATCTTTTTATTGGAGTAATAACTAACCTTTTACTGCACACTTATATGGCATAATTTGTCTTCATTAATTACTCATCTGCAAAGCTTTCACATGGGATTATTATCAGCAGCCAGAATATATATTTGAGCTTCTTTAGGAAGAAATATTAGAGGTATACTGGAGCTAGGCAAAATTTCTGACAGAACTTCCTTTCAGTGATGCATTTAGACTCAGGTTAGCATCCATAAATAACAAAATATAAAAATAGTAA